TCCTACCTCAACCTCCCAAGTAGCTGTAATTACAGGCACCAGCCACCATGCCCAGCTGCTATTTGTATTTTTCAGTAGAGATGGGGTTTCACCATGTTGGCCAGTCTAGTCCTCAACTGACCTTGTGATCTGCCCGCCTCGGCCTCCCAAAGTGCTGGGATTACAGGCGTGAGCCACCGTGCCTGGCCGTAATCTGTGCTTTTTTTGAGGATTTTTATGAGAAGCAAATGTGCTTGTGCAGTATTGGATACCTGTTGTGAGGCTCAGGGGTGATACACATAATAAAATGGCTCTCATTATGTATTTAGAACTATGAAAAACTTTGGTCCATTTCACGTTTCAATCCCCAGCATACAATGTTTATTTTTTTATTTTTATTTATTTTTATATTTTTTAGTTTTATTGAAATCTTACATGAACAAGAAATTGGAAATACAAAGAACAAATTGTAACGGCTTTTGACATTTAAGCCAAACAAATTTTGTAGGGCAGATTTCAAAAAGGTGTGAAGTTATAACAGTTTAAAAACACAGTTAACCTACTTCTAGCAATGCAAAACATACAATCATAGGTTATTTTCAATACAAGAAAACTTAAATTTGTTTGCTTTAATCTCTTAAAACTACTAAGACAAAGCACTAGCTTGTATTTTTATTTACAGCATACTCCATACTCCTATGTAATCTATTCCAAATCCAAAAAAATGAAACTGTCCAAAACCAAAGGTTCTGCAAAATCATGATTTAACAGTGTGCCCAGCTTGTTTTGAAGCTAAAATGAAGCCTGAAATGATAAAAGCATTGTAATCCCCAGAATAAGGGAACTCTGCAAGCCCAGTAATGTCCAAGAGCATTTATGAAAAGAGGAAAAATAAAAAGACTTGAGTATATACACAATAGTGATTTCTTCAGCCCAATACAAATGGCAGCAAATTGCTACTTAAAGATGAAACAGTTAAGCCATTTTTTTTTTTGAAGAATGTAGATCTAGAGCCAATCGTATCTTGCCAGTATCATTTTCAAGCCCTTACTTGTCTACTTCCACTGTTGCCCATAAGTATCCTGATAAAATTCCTGGTTGTCATTATTGTAACCATAGTTACCAGAATAGTCACCACCTTGCTGAAGCGGCTGCTGAGCGATGGGTTGGGAACCCCAGTTCTGTTGGTTGTTGGTCTGACGGCGCTTGGAATCAGGCTGGTTGTACCCATCTGCCTTTCTCTTGCCTCCTACATTGCCCCCACGATTGCCCCGAGATCCACGGGAACCACGGCCTCTCTGCTGTTGTGCAGGACGCCCTCTGCCACCCCTAAGCCTCTTGGTGGTCCCAAAGGTTCCCCCCTCTGTGAATAGCCAGCTCTACCTCTTGGAGGTGGTGCTCCCCTTCCCCTTGGTGGTGGTGGAGCACCTCGCCCTCCCCTTCCTCCTCTTCCTCTTACTGCATAGCCATCATCATAGCCGTAGTAGGGATCTTCATAGCCTCCACGATAGTCGTGATAATCATAACCATAGTAATCATCATAGTAATCTTCATAGCCATAGTAATCTGGAGGGTAGCCATATCCACCGCTCCCCACGCCACGACCCCGACCTCTAATTGGAGGTGGCATTCGAGGAGGAGGGTGGTAGTAATAATCATACGCAGGGCTTCTGGAGGCCTGTCTAGCAGCTTGACGCTCTTTCCTTTTCTTGTCTGGTGGCTTGGCTAAGACTATGCAATTTCTTCCCCTTCTATTTCTTTGCCATTCATTTCATCCATTGCCTTAACAGCTGCTCCTCTGTCTTCAAAATGAACAAATGCATAATCTTTCAACTTCTTCACTCTTTCAGGTTTTCCAAATTCAGAAAATGACCTTTCCAATATTTCTTCTGTCACTGTAGTAGCCAAATTTCTCACAAACAAAACTTTTACCTTAGCCATGACTTCTGGATCTGGTTCTTCCACAGGGTCAGCCCATTCAGCTGTAACTACATTTCCCCATATACTTTTCCACTCATCATCCGGCGTCTGGCTTGTGCTGCTGACTTGTGATCCTCATATTCAAGGAAGCAGAACCCTCGATTCTTTTTGTCATCGGGTTGATGATAGAGAATAACGTCCACCAAACCCTCTGTTAAACCTGTGACTTTACTGAATTCTTCCAGAATGTTTTCTTTAGTCTTATTCTTCGGAATGGATCCAACAAAAAGTCTGTTGTTTGCCACAGAAATGCACACTCCAAGGTGTTTACCAGGGCGAATTTCATAGCTGTCACACAGTTTCACAGCTTCCTGTGCAGCTTCCTTTCCACAGAAGGTGATAAATGCATACCCTCTATTCTGACCAGACAGATCAGATAAGACGGATCTGATCATAAGACGCTGATCCCAAATGGGTCCAGCTTTCTCAAAAAGGGGCACCAACTCATCCTCATATAAATCTCTTGGTATTTTACCTACAAACAGCTCTGTTCCAATTCCTGGTTACATGCCAGAGTACACACTGTCTGGTGGAGGACCACCATACTTCCTCTGTCCCGTGGTTACATCCAGAGTATAACCAGTTCTCTCAAGCAAGGCCTTGATCTTCGCTTCATCAGGTCCCTTTGTGGACTCTTGCACCTTGCTCCCCTGTTTCTCTCTCTGCCTGTTGGTCTTCATAACTCCACATAAAAATGCACTTTTGTTCTGAACATGCGATAAGTCACTTTCCTTGAACTGCTGTAGTACAGACAAAGCTCCTTCTTCATTAAATTCCTTGAGAGCATCAATTGCTTGTTCATCAAGATCGACATAAGCTACCAATCCTGTCTGAAGTATTTCATCAAGTCTTTCTGCCACCTTCTGTGGGAGGCCTGCCTGTATCAGTGTCTTGTAGTGTTCTGTGTGAGTTACACTGGAAGTATCCATTGGTTCTTCCTCTTCTTTTAACCATGCCGCATTACCATTGACCTGATTAGCCATTTTATTATGCTGCAGGGCAGAGCGGGGGCCAGCGGCCGGGCCCGTGAGAATCAGCGCGAGGCGCTTTGAAAACGACTCACAAATGTTTATTTTGTTTTGCTTTTTTTTTTTTTTTTTTTTGACAGAGTTTTGCCCTTGTTGCCCAGGCTGGAGTACAATCTCCACTCACCACAACCTCCTAGGTTCAAGCAATTCTCTTGCGTCAGCCTCCTGAGTAGCTGGGATTACAGGCATGTGCCACCACGCCCAGGTAATTTTGTATTATTAGTAGAGACGAGGTTTCTCAATATTGTGGTCAGGCTGGTCTTCAACTCCCAACCTTAGGTGGTCCTCCCACCTTGGCCTCCCAAAGTGCTGGGATTACAGGTATGAGCCACCATGCCCAGCCATGAATATTTATATGTAAACATATATAAGGCCAGGTGCAGTAGCTCATGCCTGTAATCCCAGCACTTTGGGAGGCCAAGTTGGGAGGATCATCTGAGGCCAGGATTTTGAGACCAGCCTGGCCAACATGGTGAAACCGTATCTCTACTAAAAATATGAAAAATTAGCTGGGCATGGTGGCAGGCACCTGTAATCCCAGCTACTTGGGAGGCTGAAGTGGAAGAATCACTTGAATCTGGGAGGTGGAGCTTGCAGTGAGCCAAGATCACACCACTGCTCTCCAGCCTGAGCAACAGAGAGAGACTCTGTCTCAAAAAAAAAAAAAAAATATATATATATACACACACACACACATATGTATATACACATACACATATTACTCTGCAAATATATACATTATAACACCATAGAAATCTTAAAGTGATGAAATAGAAGTTTAATAATATCATCTTGCATCTTGATAAATCTTTGGAGATTCATATCTGGATGGACTGTATTCCTTTCCCTGTAGCAGTAACAGCTACCAAGCAGGCCACAGTATCCATATCTGCATGTCAGGGACACAGTGATTGGTTGAGACCAAAACATGTCTTTTTTAAGGTAATGAAAATAGCAGTGAGCCATCACTATTTATTAGCTCATTGAGTCTTGAAATAACATGATTCAAATTGGGTCTCCAAAAAGAATTGATATAAGTGTATCTCACTCCAAACAAAACTAATATATGGAAATAGATTTGTATTTAAATACAACTGTAAGCTTTTTAAAAAATATAGAAAGTGGTAATATAGACACCCATGTAGACCTGCGTGTGCCAAAAAGATTTTTAGGAAGTACTTAACAGAGTGGTTCTTTGGCATAAATATTTATCGTTAATTTTTTGTAGCAGAAGTGTCTATACATTCTCTTTCCTTGAATTTTGTAGTAGGTGATTGTTAAAATTGGGTCTTTCTGTTCTCTTCCGGTAGCAGATTCCTTAGATGCATTAGATACGGTTGTCCAGGAAGATCTTTCTCTTCTCTTTTCAGGTAGTAGAGTCCATGGATGCTTTAGATACCGTTGTCCAGGAAAGAGAAGATGCCCTGAGGCTTCTTCAGACTGGTCAAGAAAGAGCTCGACCTGGTGCTTGGAGAAGAGACATCTTTGGAAGGGTCATCTGGTATGTAGTTACATTGTGGCTCTTCTAAAATGAGAGTAAAAATCCATGCCTCCCCTGCCCAATATCTTTAAAAAAAAAAAAATTTACACCATATGAGATACGTTAGAGGTATGTCTAATATAAAAAGAGGTCCCACACCCCTTTGGACCTTAATGAAGGAGAATATGAATGAAGGTAGCTTTATCTGGTAAAACCAGCCCAGACCTCCCATTTCCTGTGATTCAGTTATCTATAAGTCTGTATTGTAGTGGTTCGTAATCTTTTTTTTTTTTTTTTTTTTTTTTTAAGAAGTGAAAGGTCTCACATATTTATTACTGAACTCAGGCAACCAAAGCCTTCTTTTTTTTTTTTTTTTTTTTAAACGTGAATAATGGAAGCACTGTGGGTTGTACTAACGCCTTCATAACAGATCCAGAGAGGAAGCTGTTCAAACTTCTCCAGATAGCAGTGACATTTCTCAGCTTGATTTGGTAACACGATTGTGACCTTCAGACAGCATAAATATGTGTGCCATCTCGTGTAATTCCTTATAGACCCAGCCTGGTTCTTCTCCAATGTCTCCTTTTGGGGTTGTACCGATTTTATTACCAGTTTTCATCCGAATCCACTGGGGAATGGGACGATTTTGCTTTTGTTTCTTGGCCAGGAATCGCTTAATCCTGGAAGTCTTGTGAGAAGACATGGCGAGAAACGGAGTAAAGCACACACCACGATGGCAGGGAAAGGAAGGGAGTGTGGTTCTTAATCTTATGTGAATCACAAGACCTTCTGAGGATCTGATGAAAGTTAATCAATAATTTCCCCAGAAGAATGTACGTGTACGCACGTCACTTCAGAAGGTGTAAAACCCATGAAGCTAACTTCAGGACACACACCTGCCCTCTTTGCCCCTTGAGAACCTGGAACTATTTTTTTTTTAAGTCTCAGGGAATGTCACATGAACCAGTCTCAGTTTGCTCCCATTGCCATCAGGATAAGCCCGACACCAAATTATGAAATAGTTTTTTTAATACCTCCTTGTTGCTCCTACATCCAAATCCCACACTCTTGTCAGCCTTTGGGAAAGGATTTGATAATTAACAGTCATGCTGAGGCATAAATAACTGAGAAAACCTGGTGTAAATAAACCTCCTTCTGAAGTGAGGCTGTTCAACCCAAAGGTAAATAAACCTCCCCTCAGAAGGAATTTCATTTACCTTTTGGGTTGAACAACCAAGATGAAGTATCATTAAACTTTTCACGTAGGCAGAATGGGGTAGGCGTTTTGGTTAGAGCCCTTCCCTGTACTCTTGACAGTATGCCACTTATGACTCAGTTGGTAGGTTCTTTTAATGGAGTTGGTGGTAACAGGGCTGCTTGGAGCCAAATTGGAGAGCGTATGCGGTCTATAACCAATAAGTCCAAAACAGAAAAGAGAGAAATTGCCAAAGCATCTCACTAAGCATTTATCTATTTTATTTTCTACTAATTTTATTTGGACTAACCCATTTGAGGTAAATTAACGAAAGTGAAATTGTATTAAATGTTTTCTTTAAGGCAAATAACTTCTTACCTTATCGGCAGGCACAAGTTCAAGCCGTGGCCTATACCTTGGCACCTAAATAAAAGATACAATAGGAAACGATTCTTTGCAATGCCTTATGTGGACCGTTTTCTCAGGTGAGCACAAGTACCCTTAATAATAAAACATGGTATCTTTATACCAGATGACATACATTAAGCTTTCTTTAAATTTTAATTTCTGTTATTACCTAAGAAATTTAAAAAATAGGAAAGTCAGGTAGAAAGAAAAATTGAAGTCGTATATAAGCTCACCTTCAGAAAAGCCACTGTTGGCTAAGCACAGTGGCTCATGCCTGTAATCCCAGCACTTTGGGAGGCTGAGGCAGGTAGATCACTTGAGGTCAGGAGAGTTTTCGACCAGCCTGTCCAAAGTGGCGAAAACCTGTCTCTACTAAAAGTACAGAAATTAGCCATGGTGGTGTGCACCTGTAATCTCAGCTGCTTAGGAAGCAGAGGCATGAGAATCGCTTGAACCTGGGAGGCAGAGGTCACAGTGAGCTGAGATTGCACCATTGCACTCCGGCCTGGGTGACAGAGTAAGACTCTGTCTCAAAAAACAGGAAAAAAAATAGCCACTGTTAACATTATAGTACGTATCATTTCAGAAGTTTTATTGCCTTTCTATTCTATCTATATGTATATAGAAAACTTTCTATTGTGATATGAAAATGAAGGCCCAAATAATTCAACTGCATACAGTGTAACTTCATGTTACTGCAAGGCCATTGAAAAGGGGGAGGAAGAGAAGTCTTTTGTATTATATCTAAACTCATGAAAAAATAAAAATAAATAAACTCATGTTATCCTGAAGAATGTTGATCTCCAAATATTTCCTCCAGCACATTTTTCCTTCATGAGGTTGTAACAGGAGCAGCCACAAGAAACAGCTCTCGAACACGGAACGGGGAAGGGAGGGGTTTATTATTACGGCCGGGAGCCGGGCGATGATTCGTCTTAACCCAGCTCGTCCAACAAAGAAAGGTTTTGCCTCTAGGCAAAATATCTATAGGCTTACACTCTAGATATTACACATGAAAGAATCTTAGGTTTACAGCCTTAGAAATCACCAGTGAAATGGTTTTGGATTTACAGCTTTAGGAATCATATGTGAAAAGGTTTCTGGGTTTACAGTTTTAGAAATCACATGTGAAAAGGATCTTGTTTAAGTAAAAACTGTCTTCCATAGTTTCCCCAATACCAAGTGTGTTATTTACAGGAAGGTGATTCAGAAGGTGCCAGGTGGCCAGCCTTTTCTTCTATTGAAATGCAGTGTGGAAGTCGAGGGGGAGGTGATCCCAGATGCCTGGGTCTCCTTCAAGGTTTATCCCTGAATAGGAAGAAGGCAGGGCTTCTGTTATGACAGAGTAGCTCAGTGTTCCCATGAACCACTCCCTGATAACCATACAAACTTCAGATTTTTTTTAAAGAGCTATTTAAAATAGGATGGAGTTTAATTCCCAAAACTGCAAGTAGAAGGGAAAAGTACAGCAAGCCTATGGTTTCCTGGGCCAAGGGTGCTACTCAACTCCCATTGCTGTGACTCGAGAGTGAGACAGGGCGGAGGAACCAAAGAGCTCCTGACTAAAGGTGCTAGAAATAGAATTCAAAGCTGGGAAATCGTAGCAGCACAATAGTAGCCCAAGAACCACAGCTTTTTTTTTTTTTTTGAGACGGAGTTTCGCTCGTGACCCAGGCTGGAGTGCAATGGCACAATCTCGGCTCACCGCAACCTCTGCCTCCTGGGTTCAGGCAATTCTCCTGCTTCAGCCTCCTGAGTAGCTGGGATTACAGGCGCGCGCCACCATGCCCAGCTAATTTTTTGTATTTTTAGTAGAGACGGGGTTTCACCATGTTGACCTGGATGGTCTCAATCTCTTGACCTTGTGATCCACCACGCCTCGGCCTCCCAAAGTGCTGGGATTACAGGCGTGAGCCACCGCGCCTGGCGACCCACAGCTTTTAACAACTCTCTTGAATAATACATTCTACTTTTAGCAAGTTCCTCGAAAACCGATTTTCTCCCCTGAAAGATTTTCATACCAAAACAAACTTGTAAAAACAATTTAAACAGGATGCAATCTATCTCTAAACTTGGCTTTAAGTGTTTAATTACTTTAGAATCACATTTAAACTCATCCTCCCCACTAAACCAGTTACCCCTCTCTTCACCTTATCTGTCGAATGCCGTCTGCGTGGGCACTAAACCCTGTGGTCTTCTCCATCACCACTGCTGTAATCAGTCCTTGATTTGAATCTCTCTTCTCCCACTGTCTTTGCCCTGGTGCATTGTCTTCATCAGACTGAACTGCTGAACATGTTCTTTACCCAGTGCATTCAAATACTGCCTCCTGGCTCATTTTCCTCAAGCCCTTTTTTTTTTAAATCACATCAGTGCTGTTCAGAAACATACAGCAGCTTCCTGTCTACAGGATAAAATCTGAAACTCTTTTCCTCCCAGCAATCCTGCAAGTCTCAGCAACCTACTCTTCATCAGTCAGAACTCTTGCATTGTTTCCTAAATGCTCCTTGCTCATTTTCCACTTGTGCTTCTCCTGTTGGTACAGCTTTTAAGTCTTTCCTATTCACATGTAAGACCTAGTTAAATGCTAAGCAACTGAAAAAATCTGACTACACTGTTACTTTCTGAGATTGCTCCAAGCAGTGTTGTGCTGTTTGATCCTTTTGTTGTCCCTTAGTCACAGGGTGAAGTTGTAAATAACTAAAAATAATGAGAATATGTCAATCCAGTATCACTTTTACAGGTTTTATACATATTCTAATGATTTCGTTTTTGAAACCACCTTTTCTAGCCTCACCTTCAAGAGAATGTAGCATCACCTTCTGAGTATTAAGAATAGCAAACCTTTTTCCTTTCAGACGGGTTCTTATGTTTTGTAAATGGTCAAAATTTAGTTGGAGCAAAGACTGATGAATGCAGTGGGTGATCTCATTTTGACGTTGTTTAGTCTTACTGTTCCTATGTATGTGCGTTTTTACTTCACCCACCTGTAATACTTGTTACCTCAAATTTGTGACCTTTCCCATAGTACTGGAATATTGTATTGTCTTTTTTTTCCCCAAAAAAACTAGTAACTTCAGCAGTACATCTCTTTGTTATATTTATATAAGCTTACTTCTATTGATCAATATCTCTAAGATGGGGATTTAAATACAGTAGACGCTTGGTATCCAAGAATTTTTTCATTTTCTATTTTTACAACTCCTTTGTTGACAGGTCAAGTAATTTATGTTGTGATTTATGGAGATGTGTCATGCCCTGGGATACTGATGTGTGGGAACAAACTCATTTAAAGAACAGTAAGTCTAGCCAGAGCCTAAGAATCATCTCTTAGTAAGGTGTTAGGTCTTTCTGTTGTGTTTTACAAACCCTCTAATATTGTTGAGCACATTAGATTTTTGACATCCTGAAATATATCCTGAGACTTGTAGGAATTCCCTACTTTCAAATACTATTCACTCTAGCTTATCATTTCCCCTACACACAGAGAGAATAACACCCTGCTAAGAGATGAAACTCAGTCATATCAGGATTGAACTTAAGGCCCACTCTGGACATTCTTCCTAGTCAGGAAATAGGAGGGATAGTTGGTATAGGGTTTCAGATGCTCTTGACTTGGGTAGGTTTACAGTGATTACTATTCAAGTTTAATAATATACAGAACACATCAAATACAGAGACTGGCATTTTGAGGCTTTGATGTAATTGACTTATGCGTATTTTGATAGTATTGAATAACAGGGAAATACTTTTGTATAAACTGCTGTTATGCTTTTTTGATTCTAGACTGGAACGTGAGAAACGAGCCCGCATCAAAGCACGGAAGGAAAATTTAGAGAAAAAGAAGGCAAAAATTCTTCTAAAGAAGTTTCCACATCTTGCGGAAGCCCAGAAGTCAAGTCCTGTCTAAGATGTCTGAACTCTTAAATTTACTATTTTGTTTTTCTTGCATAAGTCTGTATAGAAGAGTAAATAAATATATGTTAAGTGATTTATAAAGAAATTCTGTTTTTAGTCAAGTGACTTCACTAATTAGTTGTTCTAAATGTTAATATGACATACTAATTAGCAAATTTAGTAGAAGCTAATTTTTTTTCTAAAAATCAAGTAAAAAGTTCACATTAAATTCCCAGTTTATAATTTCTGACATTTAAGCAGGCTTTAATGTCACCTGCATAACTGCCACACCAAAGGCAATGCAGTAGTTTCTGAACTTGGGTTACTCTATTGTTAACAGGATATGAAGAGGATGTGGGTACTGCTGTTATAGACAGTACTTTGATTCAAAATAATAATACATTTAGTCCTTAAAGTAGTATGTCACAATGTACAACAGTCCAAAAAATACTTCTGGAATGGCTAATTTTTATTCAATTATGTAAGCCTAGGTAAAAAGCATAGGCAATAACTTTTACTAGTCAATAAAAAGCAATCCTACCAATCCACTGGTAATTCATATACTAAACAGAGTTGGAAAGCATTTTACTGAAAGCAAAATATTTAGAGAAAATAGACATTTATACAAAATTATAAAATGCTTGTAATAAGAATAAGTACATTTCAAGGAAAGCACAAACTTATCTTAATTTATAGAGCCAGTTAAAGCCTTAAAAAATTTAAGTGGAAATTGAAATATGCAAAAATGTATAAACATTCTACAAAAGATGGTCGTTCTTTTCCTGAGTATACTAAAGCTATGAAACGTAAGGTGACAAAGGAAGGTAGAAGATTGGGAACTCTTTCTCAAGGGCATTTTCTTTCTACACACTGCTTCCCTCCTTCTTCATATTCTTGTTTGGAAATCCACATCTGCTGAAAGGTACCCTGTAAAATGGAAAGAAATTTATATAATTAATTACAGCTTACTTCTTACTAGAAAGGGCTTTTCTTTTTATTTTTTGAGAGAGGGTCTTGCTCTGTCAGCCAGGCTGGAGTGCAATGGCGTGATCGTAGCTCACAACAACCTCTAGCTCCTTGCTTAGTTCAAGGGATCCTCCCACCTCAGCCTGGGACTCCAGGGGCGTGCCACCATGCCTCATTTTTAATTGAGGTCGGGATGGGGTCTCACTCTCTTCTTGCCCAGGCTGGTCTTGTACTCCTGGGCACATGTGATCCTCCTGCCTCAGCCTCCCAAAGTGCTGGAATTAGAGGTGTGAGCCACTGCACCAGCCTTTTTTTTCTTGTAACATCTTTTCACAACTCCTAAACTTTGAAGAATGCATTTAAGAATCTGGTCCTAATAGTACTCAATTATTTTCTTATTTCTGCCCTCCTCCACAACCTTCCAAACACATTATTTAGCCTTGCCTTTATGGTTAGAAAGAATACTAAGTTCTGTATCTGTTACACTGCACAGGATTTAGAAAATACTGGCAAGGAAGACTTTAGAAAGAATAGTAAGTTCTTCTGTCTCTTACATTGCACATGATTTAGAAAATACTGGCAAGGAAGACTAAGGGTTTAGGTATGATGGCTTGATGCCACCCTCACAACAGGAACTGTAGGAAGGCTTGACTGAGTACTTAATGACATTGACTTTTGTTGCTCTAAGGTAAAGTGCACCCTCCCCCTTTATATACAGTATATATGTAAGTATACCATGCACAGGTATGTGTAGAAATATACTGTATATAAAGGGAGAAACGCTCTAAGTCCAAGATGCAGAAAAGTATAAGGAGTTTTTCTCTTTAGTCAAGGCAGACGCTAGTCCAAGCAACATCTCAGACCCAGCACCATGACTTCACCATTTGCTCCAACCAATTCCTGACTTCCTGTAGTCACTGGGAGTCCCAGGAATGACCAGAACTTGAGAAGGAATGATTTAATTTTAAATGCACTCCAGACAAGCCCTGACCAGTGCCAGTGGGGGTGCTATTAGAAAAGGTATGCATACATTAAGGTATTTCCATCTCTTTTTGAGAAGGGAAATTGAAATTAGGGTGACAAATGTCCAATATTTAGGCAAAGAGGCATTCTGTTCCATCAGAACACACGAAACTGGTTATTCTATTAGGTCCTCCACTCATTTGACAGTTATAAAATGCAAAGATAAATGAAGCACTGGAATTATTTTTAGTATTTTTACTAAATTCAGTATAATTCAGTAAGAATATTTTTGCAAAGTAACTCATTCACTAACCAAGGAGGCTAGAATGGAGCCACCAATCCAGGAGCTAAACCTCCGTTCCACCGTTGTATTATTTGCAATCAATTTCAACCGCATACTCTGAAACAGAGAGAAGAATGCACATTATGCAATCAAATCTTGTGACTCAACTTAGGAAATTCCTTTTTCTTTTTGTTAATAGACACAGGGTCTTGCTCTCCATATTTCCCAGGCTGGTCTCGAACTTTTGCAATTAACCGATCTGCCCATTTCAGACTCCCAAAGTGCTGGGATTTCATGCATGAGCCACCGCACTCAGCCAGGAAATTCAATTTTGACAGGCTTCTTAATAGCTCCCTGTAGTTCAAACACTGACTAAACTATGGTAATTTTGAAATAGCTAGGATAATAAGCATAAGTTAGACTAATGTATAGATTTTTTAAAGTACTTTGATTATGGCTTTTAATATGCAATTATGTGATGAGAAGACATACAAACTTTCCAAAACTGCATACTGAAGTGTAGCATTCACAATTTCTATCCTAAAAGAGCAAACCCATACCTAACACTATAAATCTGGTACTGTGCTAAGTCTTTATGTATTATTTCATTTCATCTGACCCAAACATAATTATTTTTTTTTTAGAAAAATTTAATCTTTGCATTTTAGTTCGGGATTTTTTTTTTAAGAAAATTTTAATCTACACAAACATAGTTATTATCCCAATCTGCCTCCCATTCTGTAGTCCTCCCCAACCTTCTAACTGCTTCCTTTCTAGGCCTTCATACTATCCTAATCCATGCTTAGTTCACCGCAACCCTTCCAAATAAAACGCAGCCATCAGCTTTCAGGTTAATTTTTTATTTATACTACTTTCCTTCCAAATCAGTGCTTCTGTTTTGACTCTCGCTTTCTCTTGATAATATATCATTTCATTGCACAGAACTATCCCCTATCTCACTTCCTTTATCAAGCAGTTTCTTTCCTCCTACCAAGGAATCTGCCTCTGGGGACAGTTCTCAAGTTGCTGACATCTTCCAATTATTCTATAAATGAACACATTCTGTGAGCTTTTCTAAGTGATAAGTATGTGCAGCAGGGGTAGAGTATGGGATCTGGGTGGGGAGAGGGGACTGGGGATAGGGTAAACATGGGTTCTGTAGGTATGAAAGATTGGTAACTATTAAGTAGAATATTTTTCCTGTTCTTTCACTTAATTATAGAAATGCGGCATATGTGGGCCGGGCGCGGTGGCTCAAGCCTGTAATCCCAGCACTTTGGATGGCAGAGGTGGGTGGATCACGAGGTCAAGAGATCGAGACCATCCTGGTCAACATGGTGAAACCCCGTCTCTACTAAAAATACAAAAAATTAGCTGCGCATGGTGGCGCATGCCTGTAATCCCAGCTACTCAGGAGGCTGAGGCAGGAGAATTGCCTGAACCCAGGAGGCGGAGGTTGTGGTGAGCCGAGATCACGCCATTGCACTCCAGCCTGGGTAACAAGAGCGAAACTCCATCTCAAAAAAAAAAAAAAAAAAAAAAAAGAAATGTGGCATATGTAAAACATTCTTTTATATGGGAAACCAAAAGACTATGAAATATACAGATCTACAGATATTGTTAGGCCTATGTAAATGTAACCACTAACAAGTTTTTTTTTTAATTTAGTATTTAGTGCAGAACACCTTACAAAAAAACACTTTTAAGTTTTTGTTTTCTGTTTTGTTTTGTTTTTTTCCTGAGGTAGAGTCTTGCTCTGTCTCCCAGGCTGGAGTACAGTGGCATGATCTCAGCTCACTGCAACCTCTGCCTCTGGGGTTCAAGCAATTCTCGTACCTCAGCCTCCCAAGTAGCTGGGACTACAGGCATGTGCTACCATGGCCGGCTAATTTTTGTCTTATTAGTAGAGACAGGGTTTCACCATGTTGGCCAGGCTGGTTTGACCTTGTAATCCACCCACCCTGGACTCCCAAAGTGCTGGGATTACAGGTGTGAGCCACCATGCCCAGCCAATAGAATTTTTAAATTTAAAGTTAAAAGATTACAAATATCATTCTGTTTTCAAAGTACTATACAAATTACCTTCTGAAACCGAGTTTTTCTATCCTTGTAAAAGTTCTTACAATACATCCACTGATCTTTTTAAAAGAAATATACGCGTTCATCAGCGTACTGCAAGATTTTATCCTGTGAAGAAGGAAGTATTTTCCCGTATAGATTCAGCATAGCCCCACTGACACCTTGAGGCTTCTAGCCTCAAGAACTACAAGACAATAAATTTCGGTTGTTTAAGCCACTAACCTGTATTTTGTTATGGCAGCTCTAGGAAACTAATCCATCTTTCTAGCCATATTGCTTTCCCCACTTCTGTACAGACTGGAAGCCACCTACTTTGAATTACTGAAACATACCCATCTTCTCTTAATATTTTTGCAAATGGTTTTATTCCATCTAGATATCCTTTCATAAATTAGCAATGAATTGAACTATTCAATCGAACTGTAGCTTCTTAATGAGGCTATCCTCTGATACTCCCAGAGAGTTAAGCAGTGTCTTCTTGGTGTTCCCAATAACATCTAGTTCATGGCATACTGAATTGTTCAGTATGTTACAGCCGTCATTTTCTGCATCTCTAACATCCTAGTAGACAGAGCCCTTGGTGTGCAGGGACTAGTGCCTACTAGACTATAGGCACTTAAATATTATGTTAATAAATGAGATTAAAATAATTTAAGAGAAACTAATAGATGTCAACTAAGAAAACTTGGTTGTAGGATATTAACTTTAGTAATACTCTACCAGGCACACATACAATATCATCTTTATTAAAAAATAAACCCTCATCTATGAAATTACACCATCAGTGAGAATATATATGACTGAAGAATACCATTAAAGAACAGGACTTACTGGAGGAGTTTTCTGAGACAGCTCTCTATTCAACCTGTCAGTAAAACTCTGTATTAGTGTGTTTCCTCCAGCCACTATTACACTGCCATAGAGACCCTAGGATTAAAAAAAAAAAATCAATTAGTTCCAAATGTTTCCAAAAGTTTTAAATACAACTACAAATATAACCATGTTCTCTACTACAATTTTCCCTTTCTTTTTTTTTTTTTGAAATGTTTTCCTATTATATACACTTAATAGCTTAATCTATCAATTCTCCCATCCTGGCTGTACATTTAACTCATCTAAGGAGCTTTTACTCCTAGGGGCAATTAAATAAAAATTTCTGGGGATGGGATCCAGGCAAGATTACTTTTAGAGACGGGGTCTCGCTATATTGCCTACATTGGAATGCAGCGGCTATTCACAGGCACTATCATAGCGTACCACAGCCTCAAACTCCCGGCTTCCAACAATCCTCCTCCTGTCTCAGGCTCCCAAGCAACTGGGACTACATGCCACTGTGCCTGGCAGGCATGCTTTTTAACTCCCAAGATTAGTTTAATGTGCACAAAGTTTTAAGAACCGCTAACTTAAAGGTATCATCCTAAAAATGATCATTTTTTTGGCAGATAGCTGCCAATAATAGAAGTGTATTTTATAACAACTTTATCTTAGAATGCTCATCTGCAAAATTTAATACCAACCACCAGCCAAAAATTAAAATTACAAATATTTTGAAAAAGAATGCTTATCTGGAAGTTAGGATATTCAAAATTTATGATTATGATGGACAAAGATGAACTCTGAACATAATCCTGTCCAAAATGATTGCTACCTTTCTCTTTTGCAGAGGTATGCATCAGAAGTACATGGGAGTTTTCTAAAACACAAGTGAGGCTTCCCCAAATAAAAATAAACTACTACCTATACAAAATATACTTACTTTGAATTTGCATGTATGCTTCAGAAGGTTAAAAGTCAACCTGTTTTAGTGGATAAATTCCTATTTTTAAAACATATTCAAAATGTCTAAATCATCTAAATTTTGAAGTAGAAAATGGAATAAAAAAGTACCTCATTAGTTAAAAGGAGAAATTTCACTAAAAATAAAGTTACCACTGTTGCAACAAATATACTTCAATTACCTTTCCCCAAAGGTGGACTTGTATGTGCGCTAAAAAAAAAAATCCCAAACTGACACTCCTATTGGTCCTTGAAACATCACATGCCTGCTAGGTTTCCGGTGAAATAAAGTATGATTTTCACAGCCACTCCAAGTCTTTTCTGAACAACACAGTAGCTGTTAGCACTCTATGCTTTAAGCAAATTAATTTACTCAAAATCCAGGCAGTCTGCGAGCAATAAGCTTAATCGAATCGGGTTTAAATAAGATGACGTCAGTCCTCACTTAATGTCATCAATATGTCCTTGGAAACTGACTTTCAGGAAAACGACGTAACAAAACCAATTTTTTTCCTGAAACAATGTCCTTCAAGAACCTACTGTACATCATTTCACTTAAAGTTGCAGTCTCCAAGGTCCTATCACTGATAATGAGTGAAGTATATAACATGGGGCTAGTATTTAAAACCTGACAAAGCACAAAAAAATATGAAGATCATCTAATATGAACTTCATGTAAAAGTTACTCATATAATTTAAAACACACCTTCCTGAAAAAGAAATGCAGAAGTTGTGCTATCTTTAAGAAAATCACCAGGGGCCGGGCGCGGTGGCTCAAGCCTGTAATGCCAGCACTTTGGGAGGCTGAGGCAGGTGGATTACGAGGTCAAGAGATTGAGACCATCCTGGTCAACATGGTGAAACCCCGTCTCTACTAAAAATACAAAAACTTAGCTGGGCATGGTGGTGCGTGCCTGTAATCCCAGCTACTCAGGAGGCTGAGGCAGGAGAACTGCCTGAACCCAGAAGGCGGAGGTTGTGGTGAGCCGAGATCATGCCATTGCACTCCAGCATGGGTAGCAAGAGTGAAACTCCGTCTCAAGAAAAAAAAAGAAAATCACCAATAATACATATTTTGGTTGGCCACATTTCAGGAAATCTCCAGCGTGGCACCTTCTATAAGAACTTTCTGTGATGATACAAATGTTCTGTATCTGCCCTGCCTGATGAAGCAGCCACCAGCCACATGTATAATGAGGCTACTATAACTGAAGAGCTGAATTTTAAGTTTTTATTTAATTTAAATTGCTACATGTGGCAGGTAGCTACCAATCCGGACTCCATAGCTCTAGAGTTTTGACTTTTCCTTTTTCAGTACTTCCTCTTTTTATATCTACTGTTATAAAACAAACTTCAAAGTCAATGACACTGACAACCTAACAATGACTTGGAGACACGTCAGTACCCTAAAAGATCTGGCACTTACTGGTCTGATATCAATATCACACATCCCAACACTTGTGGTGACAACGTGACTGACTCCTAACATTGTGTTTCCTGATAACCCCTACAACAAAAGAAAACAAGCAGTCACATGGAAGAACTTCAAACAGTTAAAGCACATCCAAAACGTTTTAGTCTTACTTTATAATCACAAACACTCCTTACACATATAGAAAAAGCCAGGCTCATTATGAAATAAGCTTTTATACCTTTACATTGGAAGGGTCAAATAATCCTTCCGGAATTTTTAGCCGCTCTGCACCAAAATCACAATTGTAGCCATTGGGGAATTCATAATGAACAGTTGGCATCTGTGCAGCCACTCTGAAAACGTATTAAACAGTATCACACAAAAGACAAAATTAATTCTCTTCGAAATGATAAACTACTAGGGAATTATCAACTTTTAAAATAATGGGAGTGAGAATATTTTAAGCATTATTCAATTAAGTACGTTCCATGATATTTTTTAAACAAATCCTTTCCTTATTTATAAAGTAACAATTTAAATAAGAAAACATACTGTTCATCATAAGTTGAATCTGACACTTGAAGTACTGAAGCTTGAAAATCCTGGATAACACACTATGAGTAAAAGAAAAAAGTTTAAAAAACAAGGTTGAGATTTATCTTTTTAATCTACACTTTTATAACATATTTTAAATACTTTTCAGAATAAAACTGGACCCTGTTTCTGTATGGGTAAATAATTTCAAAAGTATAAATCTACCTCACAAGGATTCTGAGTATCAAGAAACCCAATGCTAAACATTTGCATTAGAGGCTAAATTACACACATTTAAGTTACCACAGTTATGAAACAATCATAAGAGGTAAACAACAGGGAACCCCTGCACCACAGTCCTGCATAACAAAACCAACTTCAGAAGACCAGTTTCTCCTTAAAAATAAGCTAGATTAGAAGCAACATATATACATCACATTTTATGCAACTTTTAATGACTGTACAGTGTATAAAACAGTTTAATAAAATGCTATGAACTAATATGACCTCTAGAAAAATCTTGTTTAGTATCTAGAAAAAAATGACTAATCATCCTAATTTTTCCTCATATTAAAAAAATCTTCATTTTTAGGTACAAAAACTGTCAGATAGAGTGGGGTGCAGTGGCTCATGCCTGAAATCTCAGCACTTTGGGAGGCTAAGGTAGGAGGATCAGTTGAGGCCAGGAGTTCAAGACCAGCCTGGGCAACACAGGGGTGGCTCACACCTGTAATCCCAGCACTTTGGGAGGCCAAGGCAGGCAGATCATGAGGTCAGGAGAGCAAGACCATCTTGGCTAACCGGTGAAACCCCATCTCTACTAAATAGTCCTAGCTACTCAGGAGGCTGAGGCAGGAGAATCACTTGAACCCAGGAGGCAGAGGTTGCTGTGTGCCAAGATTGCACTACTGCACTCCAGCCTGGGCAAGAGTGAGACTCTGTCTCAAAAAAAATAAAATTAAAATAATATAAAAGAAATAAAAAATAAAAAAATTAGCCAGGCATGGTGGCGTGCACCTGTAGTCCTTTAGGAGGCTGAGGCGGGAGGAGCCCAGGTGTTTGAGGCTGCACTGAACTACAAATACACCACTGCACTCCAGTTTGGGTGACAGAGCGAGACTCTATCTTTACTTTTTTTTTCAGTCTTGCTTGGTCATCCAGGCTTGAATGCAGTTGTGCAATTTCAGCTCACTGCAACCTCCACATCCCAGGTTCAAGCAATTCTCCTGCCTCAGCCTCCAAAGTAGCTGGGATTACAGGTGCCCGGCTCCAAACTTGGCTAATTTTTGTACTTTTAGTAGAGACGGGGTTTTACCATGTTGGTCAGGATAGTCTCCATCTCTTGACCTTGGGATCCACCCACCTCAGCCTCCCAAAGTGCTGGGATTACAGATGTGAGCCACCACATGTGACCGACCCTGTCTTTAAAAATATATATGTGTGTATATATATATATATATATATATATATATGAAATAATTTTTTAAAAACCTGTCAGGTAGATATAATCCTTCTCATAGTAAATTATGACTCATAATTTTACTCTTACTTTCTTTTGTTAGTTATATATTAATTTTTATCAACAGAGTAAACAACCTACGGAAGTGGAGAAAGTATTTGCAAACTATGTCTCTAACAAAGGTCTAATACCCAGCTTCTATAAGGAACTTAAACAAATTTACAAAGAAAAAACAAACTGCCTCATTAAAAAGTGGGCAAAGGACATGAACAGACACTTCAGAAGAAAACATACATTCGGCCAACACCATATGAAAAACAGCTCATTATCACCGATCATCAGAGAAATGAAAATTAAAACCACAATGAGATATCATCTCACACCAGTCAGAATGGCTGTTATTAAAAAGCAAAAAAAATAGGGCTGAGTGTGGTGGCTCGCACCTGTAATCCCAGCACTTTGGGAGGCCAAGGAGGGTAGATCATGAGGTCAAGAGTTTGAGACCAGCCTGGTCAACATGGTGAAACCTCATCTCTACTAAAAATACAAAAATTAGCCGGGTGTGGCAGCATGTGCCTATAATTCCAGCTACTCAGGAGACTGAAGCAGGAGAATCACTTGAACTCAGGAGGTGGAGGCGGAAGTTGCAGGGAGCCAAGATTGTATGAATGCACTACAGCCTGGGCAACGGAGCAAGACTCTGTCTTGGAAAAAAAAAAAAAAAAACAATAATAATAAAATTAAAATAACATATGCTGCTGACAAGGTTGCAGAGAAAAGGAAACGTTTATTCACTTTTGGTGGGAATGTAAATTAGTTCAAACATTGTTGAAAGTAGTGTGGCAACTCCTCAAAAAGCTAAAAACAGAACTACCATTTGGGGTTTTTTTTTGAGATAAGGGTCTCACTCTGCTGCCCAGGCTAGTGTGCAATGGGGCAATCACAGCTCACTGCAGCCTCGACCTCCCTGGGGTCAGGTGATTCTCCCACCTCAGTCTCCCAAGTAGCTAGGACTCAAGGTGCACACCCCCACACTTAGCTGATTTTTATTTTTTTGTTGTTTTGGGAAGAAATCTCACTCTGTAACCCAGGCTGGAGTGCAGTGGCACTGTGTTGGCTCACTGCAACCTCCGCCTCCCAGGTTCAAGCAATTCCCCTGTCTAAGATTCCTGAGTAGCTGGGATTACAGGTGCCTACCACCATGCCCAGCTAATTTTTTTATATTTTTTAGTACAGACAGGGTTTCACCACGTTGGCCAGGCTGGTTTTGAACTCCTGATCTCAGGTGATCCGTCTGCCTCGGCTGCCCAAGTGCTTGATTACAGGCATGAGCCACTGCGCCCAGACCAACTTAGGCTATTTTTCTATGTTTTTGTAGAGACAGGGTTTTGCCATGTTTCCCAGCCTGGTCTCAAACTCCTGGGCTCAAAGGATCTACCCACCTCAGCCTCTCAAATTATAGGCCTGAGACACCATGCCTGGCCCAGAACTACCATCTGACCCAGCCATCTCATTACTGGGTTTATACCCAAAGGAACATAAATCAGCCTATCATAAAGACACATGTGTGCATATGTTCACTGCACCACTATTCACAATAGCAAACACACAAAATCAACTTAAATGCCCATCAGTGGAAGACTGGATAAAGAAAATGCAGTATATACATACCATGGAATACTATGCAGTGAAAAAAAGAGAATGAGATCATGTCCTTTGAAGGAACATGGATGGAGCCGGAGACCATTATCCTCAGCAAACACGGGAACAGGAAATCAAACAAATACCACACGCTTTCACTTACAAGTGGGAGCTAGATGATGATAATACATGGACACAAAGAAGGAAATACAGACAGTGGGGCCTCCCTGAGAGAGGAGTACACAAAGTAACTATTGGGTACTAAGCTTAGTACCCGGGGGACAATAATCTGTGTAACAAACCCCCGTGATACAAGTTTATCTATATAACAAACCTGCTTGTGTACCCTGATCCTAAAATATGTTTTTTTTTTAAAAAAAAAGAAATTACACTGTATCTGTGGTGTCAGGTTGTTTTACTAACCTCTTCCCCATCAGTAAGCCATATGTTCAGAGATGGGTTTTTAGTAAAGAGAATCTCTCACGGGTTCCTAGTTCTGAACAAAAACACATTTTTCATATGGCTGACTGATGCTGGGAAACAGAATGAGCTGAGACATACTAGTAAGTCTCTAGAACACCTGAAACCATTTCTCAGCCAAGGATGTTCAGAAGAATAGCATGAAACTAAAATTCCTTCCAGGTCTCACCACAGTAATCCAAGTGAATATGTAGTAATTTGTAGAGATATTTGTTTGGCAAATATGAAAAGCATGCCTCCCCTAGCAAAGTTCTTTTTTTAGTAAAATATCATTAAAAATATAGAGCGTGACCCTGAAATCATGTTCTATTTAATCTTCAAAATATATTTAGTAATAAAAAAATAAAGTGCTTGAAAATATAAAGTACCCATATTTTACTCAAGGATTTATAGCCTATATCTAACTTTTTTTTAATACTCATGGAAAAAGTCTACAACATTTTTGTAAAGAGAATAAAGTTACTTACATTACACATATAATTGTGCCAAGACCTCGTAACCTGTGGCAACTTCTCCTTTCTTTTCCAGTTTGCTGGAGATCCTTCCCGAACAGCTTCCTGAGAGGACCAAGAGATGCTGGGTTAATGGAGTTCATTTCATAGGGGTGGGGAGCTGGAGGTAAGTTCTACAAAGAAAAGTCAATAATTACTCACTTTTGATGCAATCATATATGGAGGAACCAATTCAATATTCATTTCTTGGAAGAGCTCTCTGCATTGCATAGTAATAAAGTCTCCAGCAAGAGGGGATTTCACAATGCCTACGAGACACATGAAACGAGGCTAAGACAGCATTAAGTCTAAACTTCCTGTAACAAATTTCCTCCGTGGTTGTGTTTATATGAATAACTTTTTCAGGTAAAATGAATTGAACTATCCTTCAACACATCAGTTTTAAATATGCATTACATACTGAAGATTTTTAACATAAAGATATTATTCAGAAACTGATATGCTTTGATAGTGCTACTTATCACTTTATTTCATTATGTGTGTCCTCATGACATCTAAAATCATCTCAGTGTATCCTGGTTAAACACATTTACCTTGCTGAAGGACATAGCCATCGTGGACTGGAATTGCAGTGGTATGAGTTGCTCCACTGTCCAAAATCAGCCCAGTAGAACGACCATTAGCAAATCTAGTTTAAAACATTAAGGAAAAGAAAGTATCAAGGCTGCTAAAGTCATGTTTATTGTAAAGGGCAGGCTCTTATACTGTCTCAAAAATTATTTCTTAGACATGAACCTTATAGTTAAAAATGTATTACAGTGAATCTAGGAATAAAAATTGTAATCAAATAATTCTGGCTTAAAAACAAATGGCAAAAGGCAGGACTGCAGGTATCAGAAACTCAGGAAAGTTTCTGTCCTAGAGACATCTACTACAAAGCTGGTCAAAACTAACATAATCATTGAAAGTCTCTGGAGAGTTATCAAAGAGCTCACAACAAATTGAGATGCATTCATCTAAGAAAGGCACAGAAACGTGGTAAGAACAGTGGGAAGTTGTGGCCTTTGAGCTAGGGACTACAACCATTGTCACCCAGCACTTTCAGGGCCATTTCACAGCAGTTCCTATCTCCTCCAACTCAATGGATGGTGAATTCCACAGCTAGTGAATATTGGCAGATCCCATTTCCCACAGCTCTGTACTGCAGAAGGCCTATCCTACCTGCACATACTAACTCATGTTTGGGAGTAGGGACATTCACTCACTCGTCAAATATTTACTGAGCACCTATTAGGTGTCTACTAAGTCTGTTGCTTAGTAAGGAGCTCACCTGGGACTAAAATTCCTTTAATACAGAAGTCACATAAAGGTGCACCAAAATTGTCTTTTCCCTGAAGGTCATCCTGTTTAGTGAAGTACATGATCAGTAAAGCTGTAAAAAGAAAAGCTCAGGATGCCCTGGGAAAGGTAGGGGCGTAAAAGAGAAACCTATTCCTGGGATATCCAATTGTAAGCTGGGGAAAGGAATATGGGCAGAGCAGGAGCATATGGGAAGACCAAGAGGCAAGAGAACACACTGATGTCAGAGAACTGCAAGTACTTCAGCACAATCTGAAAGCAAAATAAAGGAAGAAATGTGGAAGATGATTCTGGCTGAAAGCTGACTAGCCCTTGATAAAGATTATTAGAGCCTGGGCACGGTGGCTCATGCCTGTAATCCCAGCACTTTGAGAGACTGAGGCGAGCAGATCGCTTGAGTCCAGGAGTTCGAGATCAGCCAGGGCAACATGGCAGAACGCCATTTCTACCAAATAAATAAATAAATAAAAATAGATTGTTAGAGCTGCAATGTAAAGAATGGTCAGACAAGAGGATGTGCTTCAGTAATCCTGGAACCAGCTTCCACCGAATGCAGTGGCAGTGGGACAGAGAGAAGCAAATGGCAGGGAAGAAGAATAGGTGGGACTTGATGACTAAATGTCATCAAAGGGCATGAATTTACAGCCAATTTCCAATTTTCTGTGACACTGGAAGGGATGGAGAAAATAGCAATCTTCAGGTCATCTAAGCTAAATGATTAGACATTGCCTCCTATCCACAAACCCCTTCTTAAAAACAAAAACATCTTAACACTCATAATTTGAGTGTTACTTTATTTCCCTCATACCTTCTGGTGTAACGTTGGTTTTACTAAAAAATATTAAAAGATGGATGCTAAAAAGCAAGAGAGAAGGGAACAAAACAACTTCTGAACAAGCAATAATTGGCTTATGTCTTCTACTATCACATTCAGTAACATCATGTATACTTCAAAAGGAAATGTATTACTCTTTCAAGGATACGCCGTCAAAACTGCAGTTTTGCAAAGGAAGAATGCAGGGATGTTGTAGTGTTCAAACATTAACTCTGTCAGTTTCTCTCTCTTTGCTCTAGTATTCCACTTGAGAAGAGGGAAAAAAGAAATGCAAGTTATTTATTAAGAATTAAAAAGTTGATTTATCTCCAGATAAAATCTAGCACTATATTAACAAAGATATAAAACATCAAAAACAGAATAAAATACCATGACAAATAATCTTTCATAATATCTGACAAAAATGAAAAACGAAACCTCTATAATATTTCTTTAGATATAGATTAAATTTACTAATCAATCAGATAAGAATTAAAATTATTTAGTAATAAAATTGCTTCTATAAATTCTAGAAATTAGACTTTTCCACATGAGGAAATCAGAATTCTTATAAACATAATATTAAATCTAAAGAGTAAATACGGCAATCCAAATCCTAAGTATGAATTTTAGACCACCAAATTCTCCCATTTATAATTGGTATTCATAAAAGAAACCCTAAGTTCGTAACAATACAACACTGATCATTTATGACCATTAGGCTTGCTTTCTGGGACCTTTTTGTCTCTGTACCAAATGTGTTTCACAAAAGACTTTGGTCCAAAAATTTCCAGCCGTCATTCAACATCTCAGTTCTCTCTTGGAGACTTGACTAATACTAGATATACACTGCCCTTGGGGCACAAGAAATGATTCATAAATCAAAATGAGATGCAGTCCAAGGAAATAAAATGTTAAGGCCGGGTGTGGTGGCTCATGCCTGTAATCCAAGCACTTTGGAGGCCAAGGCAGGCGGATCACCTGAGGTCAGGATTTCAAGATCAGCCTGACCAACACGGTGAAACCCCGTCTTTAAAAATATAAAAATTTAAAAATAAATAAAAAATAAAAAAGTAAATAAAATGTTAAACAAGTACCTGGAAATATAGAAATAACCACAAAATCCATTAGGGTGTTTTGTTGTTCTCTGGATGTTTTATTTATTGGAACAGTAAAAGTTATACGATAGTATTAAAAATGAATCCCTTTTTCCTAATTTTCAAATTCAAAATATGAATTTCTATGCCTCTTTAAAAAAAAAGAAATAGTCATCAATTGAGTTGAAAATGAAAAAAGAAAAAAAAAAACAACTAGAGAAATGTGAAAAAGAAAGTCTTTATCTCACCGGTGCCTCTGACATGAGAACAGGATGGAGGCTGGCTTCTGATTTGACATGCATTTTGTAGGTATGGTCCAAAATGGCCTGGAAACTATCCCAGTCTTCGACTAGAAGATAAGATTAGTAACTCAGAAACAATGCATAGTTGAAGATGAATACAGCATCTTTTGAGATACTGTTTCTATGACTTGACAATTAATACTTTAGTATACAGAACCTACTGATTTTACAGATCAACTTCCTAACACAGTACTTTATACAGAGAGTACCTTTGTCTTCTTTTTGGTCCTCCAGACCCCAGACCTGTCCCAAATGTAATTAATCTAACAGACCTAAAATGCCCAATAAATGTTATTCAATTCAGTAAGTACTTCTCAGAGGCCCAGAATGTGATCAGAATGATCACAGGAAGTACAGAAGAACTGTATGGCCTTCTGAATGAGACTACTGCTGGGGTAAAAAAAGAATTGTATGGTCTAGACCCGACACTCAAAAACTTACAATCTATTTGGAAAAAACTAAAAGACATGCTAAAAATTAGAGAAGAGCATATGTCTTCAATTTGGCTTCCTAAACATTCCACTAGAACTGACACTCACGACTTCTAATAGGCAAATTCATGGATACTCCACATTTTTAATCATCTGACTTCTCTAAATTACGACAGCATTGCCTACACAAGAGTTTACAAACTTTTCTGTCATGGCCCAAAGAAAAAATGTCACTAATTATATAATATACTTCCACAGGCCCACCTGGATTTTTTTTTTAACTTCTCTTTCTCAGTGTAAAGCTGTCAATGTCACAGCAGAAAACACTGAGAATCACTGAAACTTTTTCTTTCCTTGTTCTTCTCCTGATTTTTTTCCTACATCCCTAATTGTTTCCTTTCCTTCTCCTTCAAGGGTACCTTTTATTCTCTATTAGTCAAAATATACAAGTTTTCCCCAGGAACTCCATCTTCAATCCTCTTCTCATATTCCAATTTTTTTTCAGAGTAATAAAACGCAACTCCGTATCTTCAGATCTTTCTTATGACCTTTTATTCACCTGCTTACTGAATTAGCACCTGGATGTTCTGAGCACTTTGAACTCAGTGAACCCACTTACTTATTATACATGAAAGAGTTAACACTGCAAGCCTGAGAAAGGCCTGCTTGTAAGGCTGTCTCTTAGCTGGTGTCTGGAAACATGACTGGCATACAGTTCCCCATGTTGATATAAAACTTGTCCCTAAATGGTAAGAGTAGCTTGCTATACCAACACTGTTTGTACAAACAATGTTAGTTCTGAAGACTTGCTTTCCTTCTGAGAATCTAAAATTGTGTTACAGGCCAGGTAGATGGTACCTACATAACCAGCCCACTGTAAAATCCTTGCGTACTGAGTCTCAGAGTTCTCATGGAAGATAACACGTGTGTTGTGATTTATTGCTGGAGGGATTAAGCACATCCTGTATGACTCCTCTGTGAGGAGACTCTAAGAAGTTTGCATCTGGACTTCATCATCCCATCCCTTTTCCCTTTGTTGATGTTGTTTTGTATCTGAATCTTCGGTACAATAAATCTTAGCTGTGAGTACAACCACATGCTAAGTCCTGTGAGTGAGTCTTGCTTGTGAGTAACTGACCTGAGAGTGATTCTGGGTATGCCTAATAACCTTGCCTTTTTTTTTTTTTTTGAGACAGAGTCTCGCTCTGTCACAGGCTGGAATGCAGTCATGGGATCTTAGTTCACTGCAACCTCTGCATCCTGGGTTCAAATGATTCTTGGGTTCAAATGATTCTTGTGCTGCAGACTCTCGAGTAGCTGAGATTACAGGTATGCACCACCACACCGGGCAAATGTTTATATTTTTAGTAGAGATGGGGTTTTGCCATGTTGCCCAGGCTGGTCTTGAACTCCTAGACTCAAGCAATTCACCTGCTGTCTTGGCCTCCCAAAGTGCTGGGATTATACAAGTATAAGCTACCATGCCCAGCCAACCATGCCTTTTAAAACCATAACACTTCCTCCTTCCTTTTCTATTCCTATCTCAATGCATGGTGCTCTCTGCATAGAGTTGCCCCAACCAAAAATCTAGGAAACTTTGAGTCCTCTCTTGCTTTTACTCCATCGATCACTTTGTAACACTGTCTCCTGGTTACCCTGAAAGTCCCTTCAAAATCTCTACCAGTATGATCTAACAGTTTAAACCCTCTTGATTTCTGATCTGGACTCTTATCTTCCTATTGAACTTGCTGTCTCTACTGTCTCCCTTCACTAGAGCCTACATATTACCATTAATCTTTCCTGCTGGCAAATATGAGCATATCACATCTGTTTAAATTCCTTTGGGGTTATCCTTCAGCAACTAGCTTAATACAACTCTGGGATGGTTTACAAGCCCTTTTATGATGGCTCTCCACCTACCTCACCTGCTACTGACCCTAATGAGCCCAATGCTGCAGCCACACGCAATTGTATTACATCTCTAAGCACATAAGCTTCTTTCACAACTCCATCCCTTCACACATGCTGGGCCCTCTGCTTTACCCAGCTTTGTCAGCTAGGCTAATTCTTATTCATTGATCAAGATTCATCATGAGTTACCACCTTTGTGAAAACCATCAGTGACTCCCAACACTAATCAAATACTCTCCTCTCTAGTCCCATTGCTTATGCACATATCTATATTGTAGCATTTGTTCCACAGGGCACTATTATTTGTACGTAAACATCTATTTCCACTAACTATAAGCTTTTGAGGAAAAAGAACATTTCTTATTCATCTTTGTATTCTCACTGTCTGGAAATCAGTTTGTGGAATAAAAAACAAAACAAAAAACATGGCTGATGTTCAACTTATAAAACGCCACTGCTTTATATATATATCTAAAATATACCATGTACCCTCTATAATCAATTCCACTGGGAAAACATCATACCCATCCCATTTTTTAGAGGTGAAATGGCCTCCATATTCTCCCTCGGAACCCGCAGAGCATTGGTGTCTATGTAGTAGGTGGGACCTCCTTGTTTGCCTTTATCGCCATCTATTTCCATCAGTGTGCTTCCGTCGTCTCTTTCCACCACCATACCAATAGCTGTAGGAAAATCCACCTGTAAGAGTCAGAAACATGATATATGAGTTTCACCTTTTACCAAGAAGGCATTTTTTTCCCGCGACTAACGTCTTTATTGTATTTGTCTTGAATCAGAATTTCTGCATGAATTTAATTTACATGAATGGCTCTACATATCAAATTAATTCCAACATTACACTTACCTTGGGACAGTCCTCACCGGCATAACCAGCTCTCACAGTATAGGATCCGATGTCAAAAACAAGGGCTCCAACTTCATCTAAAAAGATTAGAAGTTAATTAGCATTAACAGCTTGCAAAGTATCACATGAAAATTAAAGTATTTAATGTACTTAAAATAAGAATGTATGTAAAAGCTCTGTAAAATTAATTACATTCTTTTTTTTTCTTTTGAGACAAGGTCTTGCTCTGTTACCCAGTCTGGAGTGCAGTGGCACAATCATAGCTCACTACAGCCTCAACCTCCCAGGCTCAAGCAATCCTCCTGCCTCAGCCTTCCAAATACTTGGGACTACAGTGCATGCCATCACGCCCAGCTAATACTTTAAATCTTTTTTTTTTGTAGAGACAAGGTCTCACTATGTTGCCCAGGACAGACTCAAACTTTGGGGCTCAAGCAGTCCCCTGCCTCAGCATCCCAAAGTGCTGCAGGCATGACCCACTGCACTCAGCCCAATTATATTCATATTATTACTCACTTGAACCTAGTTTCAAATAAATCTTAAAGAATCATTTAATTAAAATATAAAAATTGATACACCGTATTTCAGCAGCGGTTCAATCAGTTAAGAAATGGTACACTAAGGCCGGGCGCGGTGGCTCAAGCCTGTAATCCCAGCACTTTGGGAGGCCGAGGCGGGTGGATCACGAGATCAAGAGATCGAGACCATCCTGGTCAACATGGTGAAACCCCGTCTCTACTAAAAATACAAAAAATTAGCTGGAGATGGTGGCGCGTGCCTGTAATCCCAGCTACTCAGAAGGCTGAGGCAGGAGAATTGCCTGAACCCAGGAGGCGGAGGTTGCGGTGAGCCGAGATCGCGCCATTGCACTCCAGCCTGGGTAACAAGAGCGAAACTCCATCTCAAAAAAAAAAAAAAGAAAGAAATGGTACACTAAAACTGGGAAATCTGAGTTTACTTATTAAAAGGAGTATTTACAAAGATAGAGGTAAAATATAGGACAACCAGAAGGGACAGTACAGTACCCTAGTACTGTAGTGATAACTGATAATAATGAACCCACTGCCATTCTTCAAACTGAAGAAACAAGAAGAAATAATTGTTACCAGAATCTGGAGAGAAAGTTTTATAGGGAAGACTACTGACAGTAGCTTTGAATTTTAGTAGAAGGATGCAGTTAGCCATGAATTACCCTGAGGTGAATGAACAACCAGGCTAATATGCCAGCAACCTCCCTCCACCATCAACTAGGGTGATTCTATAATTTATTATTCTAAGTGGGACAACCACTACAGGCAACTCAGTCATATCTATTAAAGTTGAAATTGTGCATACATAGAATTATACACATTTATTCTGGAGACATACTCTCATATAGGTTGCAAGGAGACATGTACAAGAACCTGAGCAATTTACTAACCTCTCTGCCTCAGTTTCCTAATATATAAAATGTACATAACAGCTCTTATCTCATAAGATGCTCTAATGATTAAATGTGTTAAATACTTTCATGTATATGAAGTCTTAGAAAATAAACATGCTAAGTGTCAACTGCTATTATAATTATTCCTGACACACTGGTTGCCACAGGAAATGGCAGAAATAATCTAACGGTCTTTCAGTAGGGAAATAGATAAGCAATAATATATTCATACAATGGAATCCTATACAGCAGTTCAAATGAACACTCTAGATCTATATACATCAACATCAATAAATCTAAAAGAATGCTTAGTTTTAAAAGCTAGTTACCAAAAAACCCATATATATATATGTATACACACACACACACACACACACACACACCCCACTCATACTACTTAATTAATTATGGGATGGCCAGGCATGATGGCTCGGGGATGGAATCCCAGCACTTTGAAAGGCCAAGGTGAGAGGATCCCTTGAGACCAGCCTGGTCAACATGACAAAGCCCCATCTCTACTAAAAATTAAAAAGTTAGCCATGTATGGCAGTATATCCCTGTAGTCCTAGCTACTGCGGAGGCTGAGGCAGGAGAATAGTGTGAGCCCAGCAGTTTGAGGCTGCAGTGAACTATGATCACATCACTGCACTCCAGCAGCCTGAGCAACAGAGCAAGATCTCCTAAAAAAAAAAAAATCATTACAGATGCACACACATGCAGGGAAAGCATGAAAGTATGCATGGGGTCCGGTAATGCTACATACCAACTTCAGTTCAGTGGTTACCTGAACTGATGAAGGAAGAGAGAGGGAATCTGTATCAATAACATTTTTATTCTTAAAATATCTGAGGTATTAATATGGCAAAATATGACATCTATTTAATCTCATTGGTGAGTACAGTATTGAATTACATACAAACTTCCAGGTGATTATAGTAATATCAAAAACCTACATCTATACATTTTTAGTATGTTTGAACTATTTCAAAAACTTTTTAAATAAAATTAAACCCATTATTACTTTGCAAATATCAATTAACAGACAGTACCTCTGCAGAATGATCTCTTTTTTCCTTTTTTTGAGATGGAGTCTCACCCTGTCACCCAGGCTGGAGTGCAGTGGCACAATCTCAGATCATTGCAACCTCCCCCGCCCAGGTTCAAGCGATTCTCCTGCCTCAGACTCCCAAGCAGCTGGAACTACAGGTGCGTGCCACCACACCCAGTTAATTTTTGTATTTTTAGTAAAGATGGGGTTTCACCATATTGGCCAGGCTGGTCTCGAACTCCAAACCTCAGGTGATACACCTGCCTCAGCCTTCCAAAGTGCTAGGTTTACAGGCGTGAGGGTCAGGCGCAGTAGCTCACACCTGTAATTCCAGCACTTTGGGAGGCCAAGGTGGGCAGATCACAAGGTCAGGCGTTCGAGACCAGCGTAACCAACGTGTTAGGCTGAAACCCCGTCTCTATTAAAAAGACAAAAATTAGCCGGGCATGTTGGCATGAGCCTGTAATCCCAGCTACTTGGGAGGCTGAGGCAGGAGAATCGCTTGAATCCAGGAGGCAGAGGTTGCAGTGAGCCAAGGTCGTGCCACTGCACTCCAGCCTGGGAGACAGAGTAAGACTCTGTCTCAAAAAAAATTTACATATATATATATGCATGAGCCACTGCGCCCAGTGAAACCAGAGTCTTTAAAGAAGTAATTAAGTTAAAATGAAATCATTAAGTTGGGTCCTAATCCAGTATGACTGATGTTTTTAAGAAAAAATTTGGACTTGGATACGTACAGAGGGAAGACCATGTGAAGACAGAGGGAGGAGACAGCCATCTACATACAGAGGAGAGAGACCTAGAAAAAAACAACTCTGCTGATACTAAGATCTACCTCTAGCCTCCAGAAGTGTGAGAAAATTAAATTCTGTTGTTTAAGCCACAAAGACGGTGGCACTTTTTGATGGCAGCCCTACAAACTAATTCAGACAGCTTAGGAAATATATAAATCCCTTCTTAGAATGTTTTCAATAGATTATAAAAGAAACCAATTACGATAAAATATAGTTCTACCATGGAAATTTCGGGAAAGCCAAGAACCCCATGTTAGAGCCCCTTCCCTAATTTACCCTTTCCTGGGCAATATATTCTACTCCTATAGCTTCAACTTCTACCTAAATATTGAAAATTCCAATCTCAAATCTCTCTCTCAGGCTCTAACCAGAGACTAGATCCATATCCGGAACTTTTTACTGTACATCAACATAATTGCATCTGATGCCTCATGGGTATCTCCGATTCAACACATCTGAAGCACTGCTAATCTCAGCACTGCCTAACATACTGATGACCACCGGTCCTTTTGGCAAAAACCTGAGAGATGTTGGGAACACCTCCATCTTTCAAGTTATGCCAAATATTTCTGTTAAAAATTTCTCAAATCCCCTCCTCTTTAATACCATTGCCACTGCCTTCAGGCAAGCTCTTATCTCAACAGGAAACTACAATTCCCTACAGGTACTGTGCCTCCATTTCTTTGCCTCTTAAATCCACCCTTCCAACTGTTGCACTGTGATCTTTCAATATTGTAACTGCCATTATTTTGGTACATAAGTCCTTTGACAAAAACAAGGGGGTGAATCATTCAGTGGTTTCTCATCACTGAATTTGATAAAATTTAAATCATTCTAGCCAGCTGATGATCAAGTGTAGCATAATCTGATAGCAGTTTTACTTCCTGCCTTATACACTAACATACTGGGTATGTCATCTGAACACACAGTCTCCTCTCATTCAGCTAACCTTTGCATATGTTGTCCCTTTCCACTCCTCCTCCATCATCCCCATTACCTCTATTGTAAAGTCCCTTGACTCCCCGCCACACTGAATCAATAACTTTATTCTCGGTGCTACCTTTGTTTTACACACACACACACACACACACACACACACACACACGTTTTTGTTTTTTTTAGGATAATCTCGCTCTGTCACCCAGGTTAGAGTGCAGTGGCCATGATCTCTACTCACTGCAACCTCACCTCCCAGGCTCAAGCGATTTTCATGCCTCAGCCTCCCCAGTAGCTAGGACTACAGGCATGTACCACCTCGCCTGGCTGAATTTTGTATTTTTAGTAGAGATAGGGTTTTGTCATGTTGGCCAGGCTGGTCTTGAACTCCTGGCCTCTAGTGATCCACCCGCCTCCACCTCCCAAGGTGTGAGCCACCACACCTGTTCCCTTCTACATATTGTTATTAATGAACATCTCTCCTTGAATTACAGTTACCATTTAGCATCAATAGAAGATGCTACATGATGCACCATTATTTCCTGCATCAGTAAGAAAACATATGGCAATTAAACTCTGCCACACCAGCACTACTAAGACTTCTGGCTGGGAGCAATGGCTCAAATCTGTAATCTGAACACTTTGGGAGGCCAAGGCGGGAGAATTGCTTGAGCTCATGAGTTCAAGACCAGCCTGGGCAACACAGCAAGACCTGTCTCTATTTAAAAAAAAAAAAAAAAGACATATTCCAACTTCAGCTGTTTAAATTTGGAAAAAAATGTACAACTAAGATTCAGTGAAACATGGTGTCTATTTACCTAATGACTCATCTACAAGATTGAGCTTCTTGATGACAGAGCCTATACCTGCCACAGAGCAAGGACTCAAAAAACAATTTATGAAATAGAAAAAAAATCCAACATTACAGCTCATTTTCCTGTCCTAATTAGTTCAGTAAACTAGTGGAATTATAATTCAAGACTCTGAATTCTTAGATTTTTTTTTTTTTTTTTTTTTGAGACGGAGTTTCGCTCTTGTTACCCAGGCTGGAGTACAATGGCGTGATCTCGGCTCACCGCAACCTCCGCCTCCTGGGTTCAGGCAATTCTCCTGCCTCAGCCTCCTGAGTAGCTGGGATTACAGGCACGCATCACCGTGCCCAGCTAATTTATTGTATTTTTAGTAGAGATGGGGTTTCACCATGTTGACCAGGATGGTCTCGATCTCTTGACCTCGTGATCCACCCACCTCGGCCTCCCAAAGTGCTGGGATTACAGGCTTGAGCCACCGCGCCCGGCCTAGAATTTTACATCTATACCTTTTCAAGTATGAGAGATATCTAATTCCTGTACTCTGCTTCCTTAAAAATCAAGCACCCATGAACCCAAAGTAGGAGAGTGGCAACGGGAGACAAGAAGCTTAATAGAACCACAGAGTTCTGGATGTTTAAAACCTAGAATGCAATTTCCAGTGTATAAAAATCCTCAAGAATCAAACCTCTTTTCTGCTTTTAAAGGTTTTTTTTTTTTTTTTTTTTTTTGAGGATTTTAATGTTTTTCTCCTTCAAAGTTTAGGTAATGTGATTCTCTTCGAAAACATAAAGGAAAATCTTATTTTTTTTGCATCCTACCTGTAAAGTGACATCCTTTATGAAAACAGCATCACTATTAGAAACAGGAATAGCAATAGTCTGCATTCGTTTTCTGGGTCTCTAACTCATCAAACACAACCCAAAACATGAATCTTATCTATCATTGTTTCCATTCACCTGCAGATCTTGCAAAAATGGAGGGTCTAAATCAGATTTTGAATGAGGCGTGAGATTCTGCATATCTGACAGGTTTGCAGGTGATGCTGACACTGCGGGTCCACGGACCAGACTTTAAAGTAGCACATGTAGCATTATTTCATGTAACCTTCGCGCCCACCCCCATAGGCTAGGAATTATTCCATAAATGAGGCTTGAAGTTGGAAAGTTATGTAAACTGCCCAAGACCAAAGCGCTTAATAGTGAGGCACCTGGTAATCTTTCTACCACACCACAAGCCTCATCGAGGAAAGTGAAAAAACAAGACGCCTAGGACCAACTTTCTGGGCATCCTTAAACTACACGTGCTCCTGAATTAATCTCAAGAAGCCCCGCCCGCGAGTCACTACCGAGACCCCGCGGAACCCACAGGCGGGAGTTACTGAAAGGTGAGGCAGCTCGCGCACCGGGCGCAGGCGGGGAGGAGCAGCAGCCTCCGTAGCCGCCACTTCCCCAGGCGGTTCCACCGCGGGAGGCTCGCCTGGCCACCCACGGGACACACCGGGAGCCCTCTACCCACGCTCGCACACGCCGGGACCTTCCGAGCTTAGGCGCGCACGTCCCGACACAGCCGAATCTGCGAGGCACCAGGGGAGACGCAACCTGGGCGGTCACCCAAGCCGGGGCCCGGCGGCCACTGAGCTGCCCCCAACCCCGAGGCGCCCTAAAGACCAGAGCGCGCCCCCCAAACCCCGCTCCTCCCGGGGCCGAGGCCGGAGGAGCCACAAAGACACGCGACTCCCGGGCGCCGAGGCGCGCGCCGAGCCGGGTGGGCTCCGTAGGCGGGCAGAGCGCGGGGCGGAGACGGGGCGGGGAGGCCGGGGTCCGAGAGGGGGAGACCGGAAGGGAACGCCGGGAGGGGAGGGAGAGTCGGGAGCGGCGGTTACCAACCCCACACGCCGAGAAGGCGCGCGCTCTCGTCCGGCCGCGCTCACTCACCTCCCCCGTACACGCCGCCGCTCATGGCTGCTGTCGGCGCGAGTCCCACGCTAAGGGCCAACGGGCGAAGTGGCTGCAGCGGCCGCGACTGCGGGTCCCGAGAAGGGAGAGCCCCTGACTCCCTTAACTTCCACCGCCACCCCCCTCAGGCAACAAAGCGGTATCCACACACCCCGGAGCGCAGCCACACTTGCTGGCTCCTGATTCATCCAATCACCAGGGTCCCAGCCTATGTCCAGCCACTCAGAGTGCCGCTACGCCGCATCCCCGCCGCGCTGCCAGCAAGCTTAGCCAATCGAAGGCCGCCATCGGGGCGGGGAAAGAGGAAAGCGACAGCAGGACTGAGGGAGTTGGGTTGCGGAGCTGGAGGGGGCGGAGCTTCCCGGGAGGGCGAGAAAGTGGGCAGGAACCCGGGAGGAGGAGGAGGGAGGCTGGAGGGAAGCGTGGGGCTCTTGTAGGGGGCGTTGAGGGGCGGCGGGAACCCGGGCAGGCGAAGGTCGACCTCTGGAAGTGGAACATGGGTCTCCACGCAGATTCCTGTCCAGTGACTGTGGTGAATGTCGATTTCTTTCTTTTTTTCTTGAGAAAAGGTATTTTAAACTAACTTTTATATTGAAAAAATTAAAATGTTGCGCTCCATTTTGGGATGGGGGAATCAGTAAATCAGGAGCTTGCAATTTTTTAAATGATTTTTAATAAGTAAGAGAATGGAATGATACATGATCCCAGCTAAACCTGGGTAGCGCTTTAAAAACGATGTAAAAACTTATCCATTTCTTTTTCAAAAAAATCAATGTTAGGCCGGGCACGGTGGCTCACACCTGTAATCCCAGCACTTTGGGAGGCTAAGGCTGGCAGATCACGAGGTCAGGGGTTGGAGACCAGCCTGGCCAACATAGTGAAACCCCTTCTCTACTAAAAATACAAAAATGAGCTGGGCGTGGCAGTGGGCGCCTGTAATCCCAGCTACTCGGGAGGCTGAGGCAGGAGAATCGCTGGGACCCGGAAGGTGGAGGTTGAGATCACGCTATTGCCCTCCAGCCTGGGCAAGAGAGTGAGACTGTTTCAAAAAAAATTCCTTTTATCCTGTGAGACAGGTGTTTGAACCAGCTAATCAATCTTCATTCAAGGAAGCACCCAATCCTAAATATACATCCTAAAAGCAGCCTGTCTTGGTCCCCCATTCCTACCAGCCTAGTCCAGATCACCTTCCTTTATCTGTGGATTACTGCAACAACCTGTTGCTCTATCCGTTTGCCGCTTTGATCAAGGCAGCTGGATCTATAAAAACGCCCAAACCCAATCAGGACACTCCAGCGCTCAAACTCTTAAGATTGTTGCATATCTTTGTAATTGGTAGCAGTTCTTAAGTTGGTATGTCTAGAGTCTAGACGTGCATACCCTACTTTTAACCTCAGAAACGACTGGCTAAAACCTCATCAGCCTCGGGGGCAGCAGGGTGCAGAAAGTGAGGAGGCAGTAGGGTGGGAAACGAAGCTAACGGGAAAACGCTGTCCCATTCATTTGAGAATATAATCATAGTGTATCTGACCATTTAGAAAAGCCCTATTAACCCCATGAGATAATGCAGAGGTTAGCAAACTATGGCACTAGAGCCAAATCCAGTCTTTTTTGTGTGGGGCCAGAGGAGGTAGAGGAAAAGGGGAAGTGGGCGGGAAGACTGCCATCTTTTTTTTTTTTTTTAACGACCTTGAGCAAGGAATGATTATTTCTAGTATTAAATGATTTTTTAAAATATTTTTAAAAAATAATATGTGACAGGTTGGACATGGTGGCTCACACCTGTAATACCAGCACTTTGGGAGGTCCAAGCGTTAGGATCACTTGAGGCCAGTAGTTCAAGATCAGCCTGGGCAACACAGGCTTAAATTCTTTACAAAAAATTTAAAAATTAGTTGGGTATGGTGATGCACGCCTCCCCCCAACACCCAGCAACTCTGGAGGCTAGGGCGAGAGGACTGTTTGAGCCCAGGAGTTTAAAAGCTGCAGTGAGCCATGATCTCACCACTGCACTCCAGCCTGGGTTACAATGCAAGACCCTCTCAAAACAGAAAGAAAGAGAAGAGGCCGGGGCGCAGTCGCTCACACCTGTAATCGCTGCCTGTAATCGCAGCCCTTTGGGAGGCCGATGTGGGCGGATCAGACCAGCCTGGCCAATATGGTAAAACCCCTTCTCTACTAAAAATACAAAAATTAGCTGGGCGTGGTTGTAGGTACCTGTAATCCCAGCTACTCGGGAGGGCTGAGGCAGAAGAATCATTTGAACCTGAGAGGCAGAGGTTCCAGTGAGCCGAAATCGTGCCATTGCACTCCAGCCTGGGGAACAAAGCCAGACATCATTTAAAAAAAAAAAGGAAAAAATGTGAAAACTGTATGAAATTCACATTTCAGTGACCTTAAACTATGTTTTATTAGGACATAGCCCACACTTACTCATTTATGGCTACTTTTGCTCTGGTAAGGGTAGAGTTGAGTAGTTGGGAGGCAGACTGTGTCCCCCACTTAGCTGGAGATTACATTTACTATTGGACCCTTTACAAGAAGAGTGTGTAGACCTGAGCTAAAAGGTGTAATATAACCAGCATAGTGTGCATAAGTACCCTGTATCAACTGTTATCATTATTATAGCTGTCACTGTAGATGTGTGTCAAATCCCCAAAATATTTCTTCTTCCAAAATGTTTTTATGATGTGTTTGACTAGTAGCTGAAGAGCTATAAAATATTGAGATACCTTCTAATAATTTAATATTGAAGAGATGCTATTTGTGAGTTTATAATAGTTATCTATTTAAATTGATGTAGCATTTAAATGCCAAGTAATTTATGTACAGCAAATTCACTAGATTTTAATGTCACTGAACATTGAGATCTCTCTTCAATACTACCTCCAACATCTCTCATGTTTGAAGATAATATATCCTAGAAGCAAAATACCTATCTAGGCTAAAAGAGAGTAAAACATTTGTTCCACTTGTTCAAAGTTTATCAGAAAACAAAACAGTTCAAGAGGGATATTGAGGACCATACTCCGTAGTGTCTGGAAAGCCGGGGATGGGACCGTCTCCTCCCCAGATTTCAGACTGTTCTGTACTGTGTGCAGAGTAACCAGACTGTGCAGGAGAATCTGACAGCACAAAGGAGACGAAAGCCAGGCTTAGATGTTTTTGCTTAAAGTCAGGTTTTGTTCCCTTTGATAATTTGGAAAAATACCGGAACACAGGTCATTCGTTTGTTCATTCATTCATAATTTCAGGTTGGCTTGGTCTCTTGATGTCCTATTGGAACCACTGCTTTATTTAATGATAAACCATTGAAATGAATTTCAAAGGAAATAAACTTCACAGTACATCTGATGTTTTAGGACAGATCACATGTTGACACAGATAAAAGTGTACACCTGTGAAGCCTTTGATAAATTTTAATCAATAAAAAGTGTAATAAGACACTAAGATGATTGGCCATGAAGTACCGAATTGCTGGAGGATGGGATTGTTTAGAAAGAAAACCTATTCAGCCTTCTAAGAAAACAACGTCAGAGGACGGGCCATCCTCCATATTAATGACTTCATTTCCTTTGAGACAAGACTTACAGTATGGCAGCTTGTTATCTTTTTTTTTCTTTGTGAAACAGTCTTGTTCTGTCGCCCAGGCTGCAGTGCAGTAGCATGATCTTGGCTCACTGCAACCTCCATCTCCCAGGTTCAAGTGATTCTCCTGCCTCAGCCTCCCCAGTAGCTGGGATTACAGGCATGTGCCCCCACGCCCAGCTAATTTTTATATCTTTAGTAGAGAAGGAGGTTCACCATGTTGGCCAGGCTGGTCTTAAACTCCTGGCCTCAAGAGAGCCATGTGCCTCGGCCTCCCAATCTTCAATTCTTAGGAAAGCTAGTTGAAAGTACATTAAAACAAAAGTACTAACCCAGCAGAATATGGTTTATGAAATATAAAATATATGAGGTTGGGGTTTTTTGAGTAGTGATATTTATTCCCTATAGTCTAACATGTTTTCTCTAAAGTCTTGGCTCAGTCTGTATCAGTGTTATCAATAACTAGACAGATTAAACAGCAACAACCACTCAAGGTTATTGCCTGTCATTTCAGTTCTCCAGGGCACCACATGTCAAAACTATCGATGCTTGCAGTTTTTCCCCTGAACCAATATATCAGCTATGTCAACCTAAAAACAAAATATTTTGAAGTAACAGGTATATAAATTTATCTAGCCCACAGCAGGTGCTCAGAGGTTGATTCTGAATCCAGATTGTAAAAATTAAGGGCCTTTCAAAAATCCTTTGTAATATCCAAGCATCAGGGATTTCCTCTGTGGCCCCGGGTGCAGCAATTGGGTTTGCCACATTGGGTCGCTGGTCCTCCATTCTTGTAATGCTGCACTAGGAATCGTGATGCTGAATCCTCCCTCCTTTCTTCACCAGCTCTGTCAGCACTCAGGTTATGGAATTTCAGCAGTCATTTACAAAATGTTACTCATCTTGTCCTCTGTCTCAGCTTTTATTAAGTTGCATTGAATAAAAATGCAACTGCTATTTATGCAAGCTAGGAATCAAATTCAGAAAATTATCTTCCATCTGTCAGGAAGAAATGACACAAAAATTATGTACATTTAGAATTATTTTATTTCATGCTGCAAAATATATAAAATTGGCAATAGTAAAAAGCAGGTTTCAATACAGACATTTTTATGTGGATATTGTATATATCAGGAGTCATTGTAAGCACTGTTCTTTGTGTAATGAAGTTCCAAGTATATAACATTCATCCAAGCACTACTAAGATAAAAGATAAATACCTGGTATCATATAAAGGCTTTTTCAACAATAGAAATATGATTGGTCAGATTCATACATGTTTGCTATCAGATTAGTAAGAGATCTACCATCCATTTCAATAATATAACCTAGACATACAAAGAAGCCAATAAAAAGATGTTTGGTCATAGCTGGTAACTTTATAACACACTAATAGGTTTGCTATAGTATTAGCAATGGAAGAGACAAGAAAGGAAAGAAAAAAGGAAGGGCTAAATGCTCAGTGAATTTTGTAAGTCTGTACTGCTGTTTCATTATCTTAAAAAAAAAAAAAAAGACCCTTTAATCAAAGTTGCCAAAAAAGGAAAAAAAAAAACCCTTCTTTGTTCATTTGATATAGCTTTTGGGGAAAATCTCAATGTGAGTAGGTAGTGCCAGCATTTAATCAGTTGGTGCTGTAAAGTAACACTGTGTCACTTAGGGCCACTTTTGGGCAAATCAGGACTTCTCACTGATGGTCAGTAGCAACACCTGTTGTAGCAACACACAGCCCAAGGAGCAACACTTTCCTGGGACCAAGGTCCTTGCTATGTGTGGCTTCTTTAGAATACTTGAAACTGTTTGGGAATAAAAAGGATTTCATCTGCCATATGATAATGACCACAAATGACTGAACTTTATGTGCCATCATAGGAAAGGCACTTTGTCTCTTATATTTTGCGTTTCATCGACATATCCTTCTGTGGCTTTTGGCAGAAGAGGCCC